GCTGGGATGTCCCCTGGTGACGTGTGGTGACTCGGCCACCACAGGAGGCGGAATGAAGGCATTGAGCTCCATTGCTTCAGTCTCTTCACACTCTGCTATTTCTGTACTGAGATTATTTACCAAGGAAAGATGTTGCATTTTCAGGGACTCAGGGTGGCGAATGGGGGGATACAACAGTGTGATGTGGAAGTTAGAGCTGTTGGGATAGTGAGACTCTAGAAGGGGCACAGCGGGGCACCAGGGTCGTGCACCACTTGAGCAGGGTCCTTTCTAGGCTGTCCTTGTTTTTCATGCTTGTTTTCTCCCCCACCCTTGTTTTGCAGCAGTAATTCCCCGAGCATTGGCCATCTCACCAGCAACAAGTCTTTCTTGAATGAGCCAACCATCTCCCAGGCAACGAGGCAGGCTGTGAAAATAACAAGTGCTTTCCTGGTTGTTTGATTTCTCCCACCTCCCAAGAAATGCCTGGCCTTTTATCTGTCTCCATTGGTCAAAACCACTGGCTGGCAGTAATGCAGATGCATCTCCTCAGGTCAGAATGGAGGGAGGAAGGGGCTGAGCAAGAGAGGACTCTGGCTTTAATGGAAAAATTTGACAGATCTTTTCATCTTGGTGAAAGATGAGCTCAAATACTTGTCTGGGTATGAACCCAGCCAAGCCAGCCTAGCGGGGATGGCTGTACACAGCCTGTGGCATCACGCAGGCTTCTGCTGGACACGCAGACAAGTGCAGCCCAGCTGCTAAATGATTGAGTGGCTAAAGCACTGTTCCACTGTTTCCCCTTTTTCCCTGCTCCTGTGCAGCAGCAGCAGCAGCCCTTGGTTGCCATGTTCTTGCTGCAGTGACAATGAGGTATCCTGTGCCCATTCCCTGGGTCACCCTGTTAGCTTCCTTTGGCAAAAGGCTCCTTCCAGCCCATGGTACCTGGTTCCCCTGAGCCCTTCTGCTGCTCTGTATCTGCCCAAAGGCATTGGCAGCTTTTCTGCATCTCCCAGAGAACACTTCATTTAGCCAAATGCAGGAAGAGACAGCTGGTCTGAGCAGGCATCTACCTGACACGAAGCAAAATCCACAAATATCTTGAGCTGACAAGTAGGAAAAGCCACTTGAATGTGAGCAGCTCTTATGACAGTGGCCTCTGTCCCACGCTGCTCTGTTTAAATGGCAGGGACATGACGTGCGGGAGTGGCCCTGTCCCGTGGTCCTAACCAGTATTTTAAAATGTTGCCAAGGCGCCCTTGCCTATGTCACTGCACTGGCACATGTGCTTTGGCACATGTGCTTTGCCACAAAGCCTGCAAATGGATATCAAACACTTTTAGTGCCTTAACCACTACTTAGCATTGGCTTTTGTAGTGGAAAGGGAGACATTTTCAAACTCCTGCTGGAAGCTTTAATGATATTCCCTAGAAATCACACCCTGGAGCTGTGACCCTCCCATCTCAGGTATTTCTGCTCCATGCCACCTGTCCTGGCATGCTCTGTCAGATAATCAATGAAAAGTTTTCAGCCACCCAATCTCTACCTGTTTCGAGCTGTTCTTGCTCTACAGCTGCTTTTATTCCCTCATTTTCCTTGCCTGAAAAGCCAGTGAGGAACAGGACCCCTAAATGAGCAAAGGACGGATTTAAACTTTGCATGGGTATCGGTGTGAGGGCCAGCATGGCAGGGCCAGCCTGGGTCTTGGCATGGGCAGGTTCCTAGCAGCTCGGCTGCACTCTGAGCATTTGGCTCTTCTCCCTTCAGCAGGGCTCTACAGGCTGGTTTTACTACCAGTTTTGGGGGTCAGCACTGACCTTCTGTGGCGGGAAGACTAGTATGTGCCTTAGAGCTGGGATTTCTAAAGCTGGGCTTCAGGCCTGTCTCTACCCAGATGGAAATCCACCCCTTTACTACCTGTTCGTGGATTGAGGTGCTTGTGCTGAGTTGTTGCTTCCTAGCTCTAAGCTTCCATGTCCCCTTTGCTCTACTTGGACGCATGGAGAGGCTACCAGCGAGGAGTCGTTTTTTATTTTAATAATAAATTGCACTACAGAGACTTTTATAATATGGAGGCTGTATGTTGTGGCCTGACTTTTCTGTGTGCTAATCTGTTTAGAAAGGTCAGGACTAAACAGTGAGCTATAGACTGGTTAGAGGGTGTGAAATGAGGGAGTTACTGCCCCGCTTCTGTGTGATCTGCTGCTCTTTGCCAGTTGGGGAGCCTCAGCTTGGTGCTGAGAGCCCTGATGGTGAGGAAGGTCTCCTGGTAACACTCTTCCTCCATCTGGACTCCTGTCTCCTCTGTGGCCCATCTTTTTCCTCCTGTTATACTTTGTACTATGTTGAGGGATCATGGCACTGCTTTTGAACTTTTTTTTTGGTTTTAAATGGCCTTTCTGGGCTGTGCTCTGGTGTTGATGTGACACTGGATGGCAGGATGTGTTCCCCTCTCACTGCATGGATGGAGAGGAAGTGAAGATGTGGGTGCTGCTTGCAGCCATGAACCTGTCATGAGCCAAGCACAGAAGAGCCCAGAGGAACCTGTTTCCCTGAACAGGGAGGCTATATAAAAGTGAAATCCTATACTGGTTTGTCCTTAAACTCGAGAGAGGTCCTTATCAGCAGAGACGGTCAGGGAGACCTGGAACATCTCCTTTTTGTGACTTAGTGATTTATTTTGTCTCTTTGGTTCATATTTCCTATGTTGATGTCACTTTGACTGACAAAAACTGGGAGATTTTGTTAGGACTCTGACCTTTTCCTTCCATTAGACTAAATGCTGGAGGGATGATAACTGGCAGGAGGAAAATGAGACAAATGAGAGAGGATTTGTTTTTTATCTCAATAGCAAAAGCACAAATAGTCTCATTCATGTTTGTTAGAGGAGCTTTCTTTTCCTTGTGCCTCGGATGCCATCAGGCTCCTGTTTGGAAGATGCAATGGGGGAGATGCATCTGCTGCAAAGTCTTGGGGGGAATTGAATTTGGAGCAGTCACTTTCCTGAGGCTTCTTCTCTTGAGGGCTTAAGTAAGGAGTAGGGGAAAATCCCCCCACCAAAAGATTTGCGGTGGAAACACTTGGCTGAGAATGACTTTTAAAATAGAAAAGCTTTGCCTGAAAAGGGATGAAGTGTGTACTGTAATACTCAAATCACCAGTCTAATGGCTTCTCTTTATAGCAGCTGGGTATTAATAATAGCAAAGACCATACAATTCTTTGTAAGATTAAAATAAATACTGTTACGTGTTAATACCAGCAACTTCCTGGGGGAGGGCAGCCCAGAGAAAGGACCAAATGGAAGACCAAGGCCTGAGATTTAGGTCCTTCCCTTCTTTTTTTGCTGTTAGATGATGGAATTGCATTGCTAACATCTGTAAAGGGAGATGTTCTGAATCATCCCCTCCCCAGACCGTTGTTTGATTTTAGTGGTTTATAGCAGCCTTGTGAGCTTGCCTGTCTGCACAGTCAGCACTGTGCAAGACAGGAGTTGTTCCTCTGGGAGCAAATACCTTGGGGAGGAAACTAGATTGGTGAGAACTAAATGCAACCTGTTTCTCACTTGTAAAGGCAACTGAGGATCCCTACTGCCCTAAGGTATCTGTTGAAATGAGTGGTGTGTACTGGATGTAAGGAGAAATCTTTTCATTATGAGGACACCAAAGCAGTGCATCAGCTGTGCAGAGACACTGTGCAGTCTCCATCCTTGGAGATTTTCAAGACCAGGCTGGATAAAGCCCTGGGCAACCAAGTCTGGTTTGTTTCAAGCAGCAGGGTGAGCTAGAGCCCTCCTGAGATCTTTCTGACTTGAATTATCCTATGATCCCAGGAAAGTTTGATATCTTTTCCATAGAGATATGAACGGGTGTAACATTTTGGGCAGACCAGGACTCCATCTCACGCCTGGCGGTTGTGATTACAGCTCTCCCCGACGCTGGTACTTTGCCAGGCCTGGCACTAAACCAGTCCTGAGATTCCCTCCCATAACTAGGACTTCAGGTGTCAAAAGAAAAGGAAATTTTACATTTTAAAGCTGTCTGCTGCAGACTATCAGACATGGAGAATGATTTGTTTCTGTTTTCCTGGGCATAGATTTTTAACTGAGACAAGATATGTTGCCTTGCTAAGAGCTGAGTCACTGAGTAATCAACAGATTAATGTATTCAGCTCTAAAGCCATCAGCATTAGTTCTCGGCAAGCTCACAAGAACTCCATTATTGTATCATCTCTGCATTTGGGATAGAAATGTTTCCATGATTTAGAGTTCCTGTGGGAAAAATCCCTAGACTCAAAGAAATCAAAATACTCCTTTGTGACTGGGAGAAGCGAGCTACCTCTTTATGCAGCAGCACCACGGCAGCGCTTTGGCATCCTTTCCCCTGAATGCTTTCATTATCAGCTGTTAGATAAGGAGTTTGGGGTATGTTGTACATCTGTCATTTAATAGCTGCCTAAAAATAGTTATGATAAACCCACTGGCTATAGGACTTGGCCTTCATCAGGGCTTTAATCTAAAATTATTTCACTGCCTGTAAAACAAGGTACTTTTATATTTCCTTCTGTATGGGAATATGCAAAAAGAGGATTTGACTGCTCTAGGCTGGTGGAATGAATCTGAACAGCAGCACCACTTTTCCTCAAGACACTTTTTTGCAGCCTGTGTCTCCAGCACAGGCACAAGATATGAGATGTTCTCACCTTTTCCCCAGGTCTGTCAGTACCTCTGTCTAGGCTGTCCTTAAGTGAACAGGAAACTCGTTCCCTGCACAGGAGGTCGATGCCAGAGCGGGGAGATTGTGGCTTTTGTCTCAGAGACTCCAGGTTTACATTTTAAGAGTATAAATCACACATCTGCACTGGTGCCTCGACACCACCTTGTTGTGCCGACCGCATTGCGACAGACATTGCACAGGGAGGCACATCTTCCCCCTCGCTCTGCCTCCCAGATATTTGGACTGTGCAAACACCCTCTCTGTGCTATCTTTGAACTCGAGCAGTGGCATTCATTGAATTCAACTTACCCGTCGCTCCTTATCGCCGTATTCGATGCCCAAGGTATCCATGGCACGTACGATAGCTGCCAGAGACTGAATAGTGTTGCTGTAGACCACTGGCTTGTACTGCTTCACATCTTCTCCAGAGAAGCCATCTTCATGAATGATCCTGAGGGAAAGAAAGGACAAAAACCCAATGAGAATGTCATTTCAAAGGCAGAAGCCTATAAAAAAAAGCTGTGCTCTTGAGGAGCAGGATTGCTGACTTGATTCACTTCATGTAGTCAGGCTGGTTGCTCACCACAAGTGTACCTGAGTGAACATGGAGTTAGCATCCTTTCTGCTCTCTCACAGGGATATCCTGGATAGGGTTGGCATGTATGGTCCCTGGCCCCTGACCCAGCTGTAAATGCTGAAGCCTGGACAGCTTCATGTTCACATGTTTCTGGGTCTCAGGGAGGTTTCCAGGCCCTCCCTTCTCTCTCCTGTCTATAGAAATATATCCACTGCTCACAGTGACACTCAGGTCTTAACCTGAAACACTTGTTAGACACACTTCTGGCCTAGTGCTTTTCACCAAAACTCTTGAAGTACCTTACAAAAATAATGAGAGTTGACATCTCTTTTGTACCCCTGGGGAAAGAGGAAGAGAGGAGAAGCAATTTAGCCATGTAGCACTTAAAGTGCTTACAAGCCCTTAAGCCCCCTCCCTCCTCTAAAAGTATAGTTCTAGGAGTTCTGCTGCCCCAAGGGGTGTTATGGTATCTTTTCCTGAGACACTGTGGGAATTAGACTACAGTCCTTTCAGTTCTGTGCATTGGATACTTGAGTCTCTATAATAGTTGGTGCTCTTAGTCTTTATTAAACGTCACAAAGGAACTATTTTCTGGAGTTCTCGCAATCCCGTATTCAGATCTTCCCTGGTAACCCCTGGATAGTCCTTTGCAATAACTGCCCACATGGGCTCCCACCTGCTGCATGAGCTGCTAGCGCTTCCTCAAGTCACTGAGCACCCTCCTCGCCACAGCCCTTCGCTTACTGCTGAGGAAGAAATAGCCCTTTCCAGGGCTGGGCTGATTTTTGGAGCACTGGGGCAGGGAATAAGGTGACCCAGATGATCTTGGCAGCCCTGTTCTCATGCTGATACCTGCAGCTGCTCCCTAAGCAAGAGTCCTGTTTTGTAGTGGAGCATTGCTGCTGCCTAAGGGGATGGTTATCTGTAATTCCTTCATGCCTAACTCAAGATGTAAACCTGGGAGTCTCTAGAAAACAGCCAGGATTTGCAGAGTTAATTGTGCTTAGCAATAATTCTTCCCAATGAAGACATAATGATTACGATCCTGTCTCTTTACTACTAGTAGAGAGGAACAGCTGCTTAGCCAAAATAAAGCCTTCAATTGTTCATCTTCAAATCTCAACCGGTAAGGGAGATGGGTCATGGATAAAACCTTAGCATCTTGTCCAGTGATGTTTTTCTAAACCAGATATGCACCAGCAAAGGTCCTGACGGGTGCTGGCACCCCCAGGCTGGGGAGAGCTGCTGAGGAGCACACGTGAGCTGGTGCTGGGGTGGCAGTGGGAAAGGCCAGTTGGGTCTTACCCACAGATTACTCTGGAAGGAACAGGGCTGATATAAAGGTGCTTGCAAAGTCGGGTATCTACTTCCTTTCAGCATGAAGCTTGTGGAAAGGTTTTGTAGCACGAGGGACCAACTACCTGTTCTCCCATCCTCACTGTGTCTTGTTTACCCCTCAACATTGACCTCCAGGGAGGAATTATCCCACCACAGCCTTTGAATGCTGAAAAATTGGGCTAGAAGCAGAGACAGCCTGAGGCGAAGCAGTAGTTCAAGCTGATAGATCCTGTAGGGGAAATTTTCAAGCCCCTTGACCCAAGGAACTGGGCAGAGCACCCCTTGAGGAAGGGGAGGTGGTGCTGATGCTGAGAAGGGTGTAGGTTGCTGAAAGCTTTTCTTACTTGGTCCAGACTTACTGATCTGTCATGCTTTTTTTCCAGAGTTTTGATTTTAATGAAGGCTTACAGACAGTAGCAGAATTCTGCTTTGTACCTTTTATTTTTTTAGGAATTCAGAGCTCGCATTGAGATTTAGAACAGCTTGAGTAATGGGGAGGGAGAGGGCACCAGGCCACATGTCGGTGCTTGATCTCACAGGTCACTTTTTGCTACTCAGACAAGTTGCTCAACTTGTGGAAAAATGTTCTCCTTGCCAAAGGCTGCAGTCAAACCTGAGGAATTGCGAGCGGCACAGAGCAGGGTCTGCATCTGTCCCACCTTAGGCCAAGGGAGAAGGTGCAAGTGGCTCTACCAGGAGCAGGAGAGCAATAAATCCCTCAGAGCAGGAATCTGCTCTGGGAGGCAGGTGAGTGTTTAGCAAAAGCCTCACCAGAAATAATTCATGCTTTTTGTTGCTTTGGTTCATTTTGGAGGCCAGATGCTAATTCTGGGGCAACTAAGGAAAAGAATGAGAAGGACTATAAAAAGGCAAAGAACAGGATACATTTGTAGAGGGCATTGATACTCATCCTTATTAATGGATGCAACAGGAAAAAAGTGATTTATTTGCTTGAATTCCTTGACCTCAACTTAAGCATGGGAATTGCAAGCACGGAAGTGTGACAGAGGAGGTGCAAGGGGACCTCATCTGCAGCTACCTGGGGCAGGAGAGAGGAGCTGTGGCCTCACGCTGGAACACACAGTGCTGGGCACGGACTGGATAGTAAGAACTTATCTTTCATGGTGAGAGTGGTCAAACCCCAGAACAAGGACTGTTGAAGTGGGGAAATGCCCATGCAGCAGCTGTCTGAAACCTGGGCAGACAAGGCTGGAACAACCTGATCTGAGATGGCCCTGCTTTGAGTGAGGGTGTACCACATCTTCCAGAGGTTCCTTCCAACTGGAATTATTCTGTGAGTTGGTGTTTCTAAACACTCCAACCCTCTAAACCCCCTATGAAATAACAGGGCGCCTTGTGTTGAGGAGGGAGAGCGAAGTGATGGAGACTGGTTCTGGCGTCTCCCGGTGCACATTTTGCTGACGGGGCAACGCGTTGACATCACTCAAAGAGCAGACATAAAAGCATTACTTTTAAATGAGGCATAAAAGCGAGTGGAGGAAAAACATGATTGTTGGTCTGTGAATTTTGCTGGGAAGGCAGCCACAAGGCCTGAAAGCAGCGCTGCAGATGGCCAGGATTAAAGTTTTGCTGTAGGAAGTACCTACTGATTAATCAATCATGCATTTAGCACACTGCTTAATATTTGAGTGAACAAACCCCCACTGACTAGTCCTGTTCCAGAGACTGCTAGGACACCATGAACTAATTTATCCTATATGTTTTTAGCCAACATTTCTCCTCTTGCTTGCCTTGGTGATGTGATTGCTGAGCTCCTGTGGCAGTTTTTTCCATAGTTCTTGGAAATATCCTTGCTATCACTCATGCTTTTGGGATCCATCTGTCTTCTGGGCTGCAGAAGGGCTAGTGTGCTCTATTGTCTAGAGGACAGACCTGCCTGACGTTATGTCTAAAGCACCAACAACGCTCTTGAGGTGTATTTGGAGGGGAGAGCTGGAGCTGGCTTGTCTGAGAGAACTGAAACACCCTAATGCACCTACTACCATCTTGGCACCAACTCCTGATACCAACACCTCTGTGTCCACGCGTTATTACTGTCTGTCTTGTTTTAGGATGGCAGTAAGAGAGAGAGATTTGCTAGGGAAAATTGGCCACTGCAGGTCATATCTTCAGGATTAGCGACTCACTGGGAGATGGCAGAAGTGCCCAGAGCCTTATGGTTGTATTATAAAAGAAATGACAGTTGGAAACAGGGTTTGTGTAGCTTGCTTTGGCTTCTCCTCAACAAAGCACTTGCACACCTTCTGCCTTTCACTAAAAGAATAAATGTATTAAAAAAGTAAAGCTAAAGATAACTGTCCTGTGTCCCTGTTGACATGTGCCGCCTTGTCATGAGGCGGCAGCTCTCAAGCAAAGTACGCAGGGACTCTAGCTAGCAGTAGGGCTGGATCTCAACGGGATGTTAATCCAAGCAAGGATCTCCTGCCTAGGTTGCTCTTGGTGGCAGCTTGTCCATCTGTCCTAATAACTTCCTACAGCAGATGCTCCCTGTCCTACTCCATCTCTAGCCAAGTTATTCTGGTGTTTTCCTGCCAGCCCTCCCAGTCCTTCACCTGAGTCATGTTCCAGAGCTGTAATGACTCTTTAGTTCTCCTCCAACTTGGTGGTCCTCTTCCTTGAGGCACAGTGCCTTGGACAAGGTGTAGTCCTGCAGTCCTGGGTATGTCCTGTGTACAGCCCAAGTCCTGTTTCATTTGTTATGTTATCTCCCTCCTGTTTATATATCCTCCAATGGATTTTGCCCCTCTTCACACAACAGGGTATTAGCTCATGCTCTCCATGAAATCTGCATCCTCTTCTTGCAGAACTGCTGCTACCAAGCGATCAGTCTTCCTGCTGTAGCTTGTGCTGCTGGCTAAATCCCCCCAAACACCAAATTTATTAGTTACCTTAATGGGTTGGCATCCCCACTCTTTCAGATCACTTCTCCAACTTAAGATCATCCTAAACTTTCAAATCTACCCCCTAATGTGCTGAAGGACTTCTCCCAGCTCCCAAACACTGACAGTATGATGAAGATATACATTTCACCCTGGTCATTGATGACAATTCTGACCAAAATCAGCCCTTGCCAGGTCCCTACAGAGTCCTGCTTCATACAGTGTCTGTCTGACCAGGAGCTGTTGGGTAGCTCTGTGCTCTGGGGCAGAGTTTTGCTGGCTGACCCTTGTTGTGGAGCAGTTATCTTGGCTGATGCTCAAGCTCACTTTGACAAGCAAGTGTGACTGAGTTAAATCCTCTCTAAAATCTAGATGAAACATCAACCGTTTCTTTTCTACTTCCTGTCATGAAAGGAAATTGGCTTAACATGCCTCATTTTCAAATAATCCACGCCTGATGTTACTCATCTCCCATTTATCTCCTAGGTGCTTGCAAATTTTTTGATTGATAGTTTGATTCCTTTTGAAAGCATCTGAAGTTAAGGTGCCTGGACTCTAACTATTTTGCTCTTCTGTGTTAAAAGATATTGTTTACATTTTTCCCTGTCTTTTGGTACATCATCTGTCCTCCAAGAG